AATTAATAATTAAATTTTACTTATCTTATAATTATTTATAAATTTTTAATAATAATTATTTTTTAAATAAAATATATAATAATCAAATATAATTATTATAATAAAAAAGATAAATAAAAATAATTATTAAAATAAAAATTTATAAATAATTATAAGATAAGTAAAATTTAATTATTAATTAAATTTAAATTTTTAAATATAATATATTTATTTTAAAACTTCAAGAATTAATATTTATATATATTTAAAATTATATAAAATTATTAATATTTATTAAATATTAAACTAGTTATAAATTATATAAGTATTTAATAAATTTCTAATAAGCTTCTTATAAGAGATTAAGTTAGAATTTTATAAGTAATTAATAAGTATTTAATAAAAAATTAATAAGCTACTAATAAGTATTTGTCTATTTTAATTAAAAAATAAAGTAAATATAATTAAATCTCTCTATAGTTATTATAACTAAAAAAGTAAAATTAAATAACTAAAGAAAATATGATTATAGAAAGATTTTTTTTAATTATAATTAATTAATAATTGAAAAACTCAAAAAATAACTATAAAAAAAGATGATTATAAAAAGATAAAACTATAAAAAGATCTAATTATATTAAAATTTAAAATATAATATAAATAAAAAATAATTAAAATAAATAATAATTAAATATTAAATAATAAATAATAATAATAAAATTAATATTAAAATAAAAAATATTTAATAAATATTTTATAAGAATTTAATAAAATATTTAAAATAATTAATATATTAATTATATTTATTATAAATTATAAAATTTTCAAGAAATATTTAATTAATTAAAAATCTTAATTTTTAAAAATTATGAAATTTAAAGAAATTATATTATTATAATAATAATATATTTAGCAAAATTTAATTTTAAATAAATTTTTTTAAAGATAAAATCAGTTATAAAATATATTAAAAAGAATATATATTTATAAAAATAAAAATTAAAGATTTTATAAGCTTAAAACTAAGTTATATTATATATTTAAAAGTAATATTTATTATATTATACTTTAAATTTAAATTAAAAAATTTTTTTAATTATAAATTTTAAATATATTTATATATTATAAATTAAATAAAATAAAATATATATTAATTTTATATTAATCAGATTAATTCAAATTTAAATATTAATAAATTTAAAAATAACTATTAATATTAATTATTAATATAAAATTTATTAGATTAAAGTATAATTATTTAGAATTATAATATAATTATATTTTTTTATAAGGATATTCTATATAATAATTATTAAAAGCAATATATTAGAATCAAATTTATTAATAAAAATCAAAAATATCTTTCAATATTAAACTTTATAATTTTACTAATAAATATATATTTATTTTTATAATATATATATATTTTATTTTTATAATATATATATATTTTATTTTTATAATATATATATATATTTTATTTTAAGTTTTCAAATCTTTATAATTATCACTCTTGAAAAAGATGTAATTATAAACTTCAAATTGAATAACTATAAAGAAATGTAATTATAAATGATAATAACTATAAATTCTGATCCAAATAAATTCTGTAGTTTTTTTATTATATTGTATTAGCTTTTCAAAATGATAATCTTGTTCAAATCTTTTTATTAACAGTTTGCTTTTTTAATTTGATCATAAAAGCTAATTCTAAAATATCGGTGAATCTTTATTCTTAAAAAATATATATTAATTTCTCTTACAATACTGTATATTATCGTAAATCATCTGTTTCAGAATATTTCTATAAATAAACGGATTTGTTTGTAAAAGGAGAAAAACAAAGTGGCCCATCTGGGCTATAAATGAATGCGGAACTCTTGATTTTGAAACAAGTAAACGCTAACTACATAAAATTAAAGAAAGAACCCACGGGAAAAAGTTTTCATGACAACTCGACGAAGTAGACCTAGTTCTTACACGCCTGATAAAGATGACCTGGCCTTACAAGAAAGATAAAGACCAAGCTACAAACAGAATTTACAAGAAGGCCTTGCAGCCTAGGTGATTGCGTCAGTGAATTACCCGAATCCTCTATCACTTTACCACTTCGCTTCACATCAAATCTTCCCTTAAATGAAAGTAAATTTAAATAAATCTGCCTGTAATTCTTTGAAGATGCTTCTCATCGGATAAGTCCAATATACGTGAGAGATCCATAAAGAATCACCTTTAGTACATCAGAATTATAATAATTCATTAATTGAATCGCCATCTTTCTAATTTTAAGACTTGTAATAATCTTGCGTCATTTATCAAGAAAAGAATAAGCACATTGCTCGTGACTTCATGATTAAATGATCCAATTATCCAATGAGAAGTTAAAGAATCATTTCTTGCATTGACTAAGTCAGAGAAGATTGAGAGGCAGGTAGTTTTACCTCTTGAAATTTAATATGCGATGAAGCAAACTCTCGATAAAGTTCTCTCGCATCAGTGTATTAACAGCAGCGTTCAAGACTGTGAGGACTTTAACGACCATAAAAGGCCACAAACTACTATAAAAGTTGTTAAAAGTCAACAGTTGCAGAGAACTATAACAAAAAGTCGCGTCAATCAGTCACCTCTATTGAATCTTTCCTTGTCTTTTGTTTACTTTCAAAGGTTTTATCCGTATTTCTTCAAATTGCTCTTCATTGAGTTTTCATTATTAATTTTTAATATATATGGTTATCAAATTTCAGAAAATCAAATAAGAAAAGTGAACGAATTCAACAACTGCCAGCAAATTGGTTACACTGTTCATATACATCAAACATTAAAGACCACATTGTCAACATATTTTCATTTCTCGCTTTAGCTCGCGATTCATTCGCGATATTTCAACAGATTTCTTTTTCTTTTTCCTTCCGCTCAGAAATGCCCAGACAGTCGATACATGCAGAGTTAAAGATCCCAAAGGATCTATTCGATAATATGAAAGAAAGATTAGGGAATATCACAGAAATATTCTTTATAAAATCTGATCCATTGACATCAGAACAGATGCTTGATCTCCTTGAGCCGAAAACACTGTTATCCTCGGATCATATCAACGCGTATTTTTCGATGCTTAACTCACGACATGATCATATTTACGGCCTTTCCACATATTTCTATACAAGATTGATTTCGTCCGATAACAGCTATGAATATGAGGCTGTTGCTCGATGGACAAAAAATACGCGAATATTTAAAAAGGAGATGGTCTTTGTTCCGATAAATATGGATCAGGTCCATTGGATATTAGCCGTGATTTGGATGGGAACACGAAAGATTCAAATATGGGACTCATTAGGTCACTCGCATCATAAAGATTCAGTTGGAACTTGGCTCAATAAATATCTAAAAGATGAATATGATCATAAAGAATACAATGTTAATCATCATAATGATATGCATCAATTAGAGGATGACGATAAGAAAGATAAAAATGAAAATTCAATTCGCACAATTGGTCATTCTAATAATGATAACACTCGTCAAAGTGTTATCTATATGACCAGGTCTAATTACAGCATATCGTCAAATAATAGTCATCGCCAGGACAATACCATCAATAACCACCCCACACAGAGTAAGAAATTCACTTACAATACTCGTTCACAATATAATAAATTGTCAGACAAAGGAGCACACGAGGAAAATATCATTGATGAATGGAAGGATTTTAAAGTAGTTGATCAATGGGTGCAAGAACGTGGACCACAGACTGATGGATCTTCATGTGGAGTATTTGTCTGTCTAATCGCTAAATTACTTACAGATGGAAAGACTGAAGAGCAAATCAAAGAGATAATATTTGAAAAGGATGCCGCTCTCAATTATCGTAAAGTAATGACATTGGAAATCTATGATTATGCAATTCGTAATAATACCGTCACCTCGGCTGAGTAGAATTCAATAATCTTATCGCATTCATTATTGTCCACGAGATGTTGGTAAAGATAATGATGATAATGGTCGGTGGTAATCGTGGTGATGATTGCTATCATTGTTTGAAAATTTTAAAACATTGAAGGCAACTCAAAATTTATATATTACTATATAATATAATGATGATGATGATGATGACAAACAAAAAATATAATTAATGTATCGGTAGACTATTGTAATATAATCAAATCAATTAATCCCATCTTATCTACAGATTAATGATAAGAGAATTTTTCTTTATCGATTATCTTTTATATAGTCGCGTAGATCTCATGTTTCACATGATATTCTCAAAAGCAAGTACCTGCACACGCGTATCACCCAACGCATCTTATCTCGATTTATTTAACCATGTTTGGTTCTGACCCATATCGCTCGCGCGCCTATTTAATCCTGATCTTTTTGCGAATTCTTTCGATCTCTGAATAGTGAGCTCTTCTTAAAGTAACAACTCACGCCAATCAACTTTACAACGTCTTTCATATACTACAATGGCATACACTGATCATATAAAGACGAACCTTGAATGGATCTCTTCTCTTTCTTTGGATCAGCCTGTGAAAAATATTCGAAAAACTTCGATTATTTGCACTATTGGTGAGTGTCTTTTATAAATTCAAGTTGGCGTAGAGAATATAACGGAAAGTTCGAGCAATATATACTAACCCATTCTTTTGTGTATATTAAATTAGGTCCAAAAACTAATAGTATTGAAATGATTACAGCTTTACGTAATGCCGGTATGAATATCGTCCGTCTCAATTTTTCCCATGGCTCCTATGAGGTAAATAATCTCTTGGATTCTGATAAGGTCTCATCTTTATTAATTCCATTTTTAACTTTTAGTATCATAAATCAGTTATCGATAATGTTCGCGAAAATGCAAAACGTAAGAAAATACTTATTAAGCATTACGTGATTCTGTTAATTAGTAATCTAATAATCTTTGCGTTCTTTTGTTCAGTAAATCCCGGTCGACCTGTAGCCATTGCCTTGGACACGGTAATTTTATCATCATATCCTGTGTATATTCTCTGCACATAAGTTGACATGAGCATCTGATTTTTCTATTTAAAGAAAGGGCCAGAAATTCGAACAGGTTCGATGCGAGATAATGTGGAGGTAATCTTTTTGTGTGTAATTATCTTATTGGTCTATTAATTGATCTATTCACTTATTTACTTAAATTCTTTAATTATAGCTTCCTATCAGTGTTGGTCATGAGATGATTTTCAGTACAAACAAGAAATACGCAGAAATTTGTGATCAAAATGTTATGTATGTAGATTACGCGAATTTACCAAAGGTTATTAGTAAAGGAAAGAATATCTATGTGGACGACGGTGTCCTTTCGTTTGAAGTAATTGAGATTGGAGAAGAGGAAGTAAAAGTTCGCGCATTGAATAATGGAAAATTGTGTAGCAAGAAAGGAGTCAATTTACCAATGACTACAGTTGACTTGCCGGCACTTTCCGAAAAAGATAAAGCAGATTTAAGATTTGGTGTTGAAAACAATATTGACATGGTGTTTGCTTCGTTTATTCGGTGCGGACAAGATATTCGTGATATAAGAGAAATTTTAGGGGAGAAGGGAAAGGCCATCAAAGTCATTGCTAAAATTGAAAATCATCAAGGTCTTGTAAATTTTGATGAAATTTTGGTTGAGACAGATGGCGTAATGGTTGCGCGTGGTGATCTTGGTATCGAAATTCCTCCTTCACAAGTTTTTGTTGCGCAAAAGATGATAATTGCCAAATGTAATATTGTTGGGAAACCTGTTGTCTGGTTAGTGAATTATCTTATTTTCTTCACGTCACATCTGCTGCTGCTCGAATAAATTATCTAATGATTCGCGTTTTCCTGTACATTCAAATAATCACTTTTATTAAATAGTGCAACCCAAATGCTGGAATCCATGACAGTAAGTCATTTTATTTATTTATTCTAGTTCATCTTATGTTATTTACTCTTAAAATACTTTGGGTTCTTCTTCTGATCAGTATAATCCACGTCCTACGCGTGCTGAAATAAGTGATGTCGCTAATGCAGTACTTGATGGTGCTGATTGCGTCATGTTATCCGGTGAAACGGCGAAAGGCGCATATCCAATTGAAGCTGGTAATTTTCTCGAGAATTTCTCTTTCGAATTGGGAAATTTGGTTGACTTATTAATTGGTTTATATTAGTGCAAATGATGCAAGAGACGTGTATTGTCGCCGAATCCGTGATTTGTTACCCGCCGCTATTTAATGAACTTCGTGCGTTAACAGCCCTACCTACCGAAACCACCGAAACTGTCGCGTCTTCTGCTGTATCTGCAGCTCATGAGCAAAGTGCCGGTTGCATTCTTGTCTTATCGACTTCTGGTAACTCTGCGCGTCTAGTTTCAAAATATCGACCACGTTGCCCTATTATAACAGTTACAAGAAATGCGCAAACAGCGCGTCAAATTCATCTTTATCGTGGTTGCTATCCATTCGTTTATGATGTGCCACCACCTTCCAATGTTGAAAAACCCGATGATTGGCAAGAAGATGTAGAGAATAGAATTCGTTGGGGTATTCGACATGCAAAACATCTAAAGTTTGTATAATTTCTTGACTATTAGCTGGAACTTAGCTATCGATTGGGATCTTAAATAATTAATCCATCATCTTTATTTTCGTCAAATTAGTCTTTTGAAAAGGGGAGACCCGGTCATTGCAATTCAAGGATGGAAAGGCGGTACGTATTTCAATATAATGAATCGATGACAGCTATTTTTTGCTTGATATTATATTCTAAAAAAAAATTAATGATCTAAATTTAGGTCTTGGAAACACCAATACGCTTCGTATACTACGTACACCATAGAAATAATTTAAATCACTAGCTAGTTTAGAATTACATTTATTTAATGTTTTGTAATAAAATTGAATTCATGGTATCAGCAATTTCTATACAATTGGCTCTATGTTAATAAATTTACAATGATATAAAGAAAATATTTTATTACAGATAATTTTGAACTCACTTCTAATAAACTTTACCAATTTTTTACGATAAACATTTGATATATACAGTCCGCACGGATCTAGAATAATCATTTTATTTTTAGAGTGCTTATAAACACCTTAAAATATTTGCCTTTTTTCTGCATCAATGCTAATTTGAATGCAATTTGGCATAAGGGTGATACTCCTAAAGAACTACCTTCTAAAAATGGACCTTTTTTTCTCTTTCATCAGTACAACGAAAAACCTTTGCTCTCCTTTTCATGTCTCCATTCATATATTATGTATAAAATTGAGATCCAGACTTATTGCATACTGCATCACAAAAAATTTCATAAAAAGGATTTAGCCCAAAAGTTACAATTATGCACCGTATCGATCTCAAAAATCTCAGGGTCAAAATTTTTTAAAATACAACAGGTGATTTATTATATCTCATGCCCATATCAGCAGATGCACACAGCTATCCAGCATTACATTCCGTAGCGATAATGTATTAAAAAGGTTCAAATTATGAATTAGCATTCAAACAAACAATACCTTTCTCTTTGCTCGTTATATGGAAGAGCAGACTTCAACTCGTTCACAAAAGCGGCCTCTAGTTGCGGTTTCATTCTTATGTGCCTGTTTAAATTCTATAGTTGGTGGTAGTCTCTATTTATTCTCTTTATTGGACCACAGCTAGGAAAAGAATTGGGATATAAACAAGTGCAGGTACGTAGTATAGTGTGTTGTTGTTGTAAGTAGAATAAATTAAACTCTAGGTATAACGCTTACAATTTTGAATTTTACGGCTGGATTTAATAACATTAGTACCTGAAACCCTATTCTCAGGATGTGTCTTGCACTTCGATGGCCTTCGCCTTTAATCATACCTTTTCGAATACTTCGTTTATTTTAATGGCGATGCATTATGCATTGGTTAGTGTAAGAGCAAGTTTCTCGTATGTGTAATAGCGAATAAATTGTATTTTTTACAGCTATTGGGAATTTTATTATCGCGATTTGATGAGTTTTCAATAGTTATCTGTCGGCTCTTAGCGTTACCGCGAAAAATTCTTAAAAATCATCGTGGTACCGCATTAGGATAAGTCAATTGTTTGTCAAATCCTCTTATTAATCAATTAAAATATTTTAGTGTTCCAGTCACTTTATTTGGCCTTTCTGCGTTCATATTATCGCAATTTAGTAACTTGTTTTTCGTTGACGATGACGGAAAATTAGATGTTATAAATTCTTATTTTTCTTGGGGGGATTTGCAATTTAATATCTACAATATGGCTTCGCGTTATCCCTTCAGAAGATTTGATCTATGAAGTTGAAGAAACCAACACAAATGAACAAACGCCTTAATATAAGTGCATGGTCATTTATGGGTGACTCATCGGCATGACTATCGTGGTCTTCTTTTCTTGGGACAGGCCTAATGGTAATCAACGTTGGCATCAAAGTTTCCGTCATCAGATTCTTGATGAATTTGATTTTCGGTATTATTTATGATTATCATTCAAAAAAGCAGAATTGGTGAAAATAGAAAATGTGTAGGTGTTGATTGCTTTAAAGTGCCTTTCTATGTATCCAGTTTTATTATCATTTTGTATACTTGGGTTTTACTTGTGATAAATTATAGATTGGCTATTTCTTCTCATTAAATATTTTCTCACGCGCCTAAATCTAAATAAAATACAAATTTCAGTGTTGATGTCTATTCTGTTTATCGATAAAAAACCAATTTTTTAGGAACTGAAAGGACATTAACGAAAAGCAAACACGTCATTACAAATTTTTTGATTTATAGTTTAGTTGCAAGTTTGATAAATCTTTTCTGAGGGAAATTCGTATACTTGCATTATTTTTTTTAAAAAAAAAACGTTCCAAATATTTAGAATATTTAGAAAATTTAAGATGCAACCTAAAAATAAAGATGGTAGATCACACGTTATTCACATGCAAGAAGAATGAAGACAAAAAAGACAATGTAACAGCAGCACTAAAAGCAAACATATTGACGCGCGCGCCCACGTTACTTGCAAATAATAATATCATCATTACTGTATACATATGCATGTATGCGTAGGCGCTCAGTCAAAAATCGCTTCATACTAGGCTTTTAAAAACTTTCCCATTGTCAACGATATCGATATGATGATTTTTTTCGTGGGAAAACCGTGTAATAAAGTGGCTGAGATTTGTGTTACAAAGTAGTGATTTAAATCTCGATCACGTCATTTTCTTTTCTCACGGTTGACTGTTGATCAATTTATTATTCCTAATGACAGGATTCAATATATTATAAAAATATATTTTCATTATTTCGTGTTATTATTAATTTTTGCTTGAAATTGAAATCTGAATAACAATAACAACAACAATTACGACCCGAAAGAGGCACAGGCAGACGGATGGTTCCGATTTTTTAACTGAAAAAGTACAAGCAAAGAAGCATACGTACATAATACACATCACATAATATACACAAACACACAATATATTATAAAACGTCAATTATGCAGATGTACAATGATAAGCGGTATCTATTTTATTCTCGTTTGTAATGTCAAAGAAAAAAGCAGGATAATCAAGTGTTTATCCTGTAGTTTGCTTTTTATTTGTTTTGCTGTGTATATGCGCACTTGAAACAACAGAAGAGGTCATCTGATGAAAATCTTTTTTCCAATTTGCTTTTTTTATTTTTATTTCCCACACACACAAAAAATGTAAACCTCTAGATTTTTTCGCAAAGATTCTTCTTGCTTTTTTTAATATGACAACAAACAATTGGTTTGTTCGAAGCTAATTAATATTCAAGTATAGATTTTTTGTATTACCCAACACTCTATAATTACATCACAAAAGTATGAATAGTATGAATGCGGCTGTACGATATATTAGGTGTCAATCAAAATACCACTTTGCGTGTGCAAAAAAGTTTTTGCGAACTAAAATTTTATTTGTTACAAGACCCAAATCTGATTGCATACACAATAAAAATAACCGTATATAGATACATTCATGTATGTCTGTTTTTTTGTGCCAAAAAAATGGGCGCGCCGAAAATTTTTAAGGAATCCATTAAGAACACGAAAAAAACTAAAATGAATGTGCAACCTTAAAGAAAAAAAATATTACAGTAACTCTTTTGACCATGTGATCACTCTTTACCCGGACGTATAATATGGGCTGGGAGAACAATGACACCAAAATAATATATAATATATATTATGCAAATAGTTTAGATAAGCCTTTCTCGGTGTAGACATCTTTTGTCTGGCGTTTTACAAATCATTTTTTTTTGGTATCTGTATATCTATCCATCTGTCTTTATATTGTTATTCTGTCAACAAGTCACAAGCTTTTTGATTTATTATTTTTTTGAGTTGGTGTTATTGTGGTGGTGTTATTGTCATTGTTTTAAAATGCAAAAGAATGTGACTATATCAAAATACTTTTAATACGCCTTTCTCCCTTTCGGCTACACGAAATGTGGGATTAATTTAGAAGAAAAAAAGGGAGAGGGTCCGATCGGATCTAGATGAAAGAAAAGATTATCCCGATATTCTCTCCTTTCTGAAGATCTTATCATATCAAAGCACAATCGATCAATTTCAGTCGGAGAATTTCCTTTTTGCATAATTCATAATATTCAATGAGATTTTAAAGTTATCCTATCACAAAATAATGATGATAAAATCTATCGTTGTGACCTATAAAGAGATGTTCAGTAAATCATTAATTTATTCACATGACATTTCTCTCGTAGCATAGTTATTTAGATCATATGTACAAATTTTTTATTCAGTTCTAATCACTTTTTTTACTACATGAAAGCTTGACTATGTCAACATATAGATGCATTTAACTATTCTTCATCTATATACAAATTATATGAAAATGTGATTACCATCAATGGCCAAATAAGAGAATAAAAAGATGAATTAAGACTATATAACAAAGTTGAACGTGTTTCGATGGAAGATTTGGACAAAGTATTTTTACGAGAAAAAAAAGGGAATTATACATATATATAAATATATATTATGGGGTAAAAAATTATGTAAGAAAGTAACTCGTGATTTCTTTATCCCATTTCTGACCATCTATCCCAAACTCAACAAAAATTCTATAATAGGAAAAATAAATTCATATATAACATGATAATGTGAATTAACAATATAAACTTTTTTTGTATTATTTCTTTACGCCAGTCTAATTTCCCAATTTAAAGAATCACGTATTGTTTCACCACCTCGACTTTTAGTAGTAGACGACGACGTCGTCGACGTCGATGTAACGTGATGATTAACTATTCTTTCACAGATAATCGATTTTCCAGAATGATAGCATACACCGTCAATTCTTACGAATAAAAGTGGATATTCGACGAATTCCCGATTTTCTGTCTTTTTAATGGCTGGAACTCTTATTAATTCTTCAACTTTTGGAATTTCCACCACCAATCTTGTATCATTTGATGAATTCACGCTCCCCACCATATTTGTATCATTGTTGTTGTGGTTATTGTTGTTATTGTTATCGTTATTATTAGTACTATTGTTGTTATTGTTGTTGTTATTGTTGCTGTTGCTGTTGTTGTTATTGTTGCTGTTGCTTTTGTTGTTATGATTGACAGAAGTTCTTCGCACTATACGCGTCTTGAGAGGACCATGTTGACCAAGCCATACTTCCATTGGTTGTTGTGGTTGTGGTTGAGATGAAACTTGATGTAGCGATACGTCATGATAAAAATTGGCCACACTCATTTCGATTGTATTATTTGAAGTATTGCAAATAGGAGTTGAAGTTAGCGTGGGAAACGGAGTGATTGGATGATTTGTCGATGGTCCGGACTGCGATGAAGAATCAGATGTTGGAAAAGCTTCGAAATGTGTATATTGAAATTGAGAAATTCCAACAATCGTCCAACAAAGGTAATCGTCAACCTCTTCAACGATTGAAGATGCGAGTGCGTCATTTACATCCGAATTGTTGCTATGATGGATTGCAAACGACTCTTTTGATGAGTCGACCGTATGTATATGGACCAATCTGGAAGGTTGATAACCGAGATAAGGGGATGCACCACTGACGGTACATTGATCTTGTGATTGAGGACTGTCCATTGTGATCGGACCTGCAGCGCTTAAATAAGAGTTTTGACAGCCGGTACCAACACGTTGCAATGCAATTTTTTGCATTTGGCTAACAGGTCCACATGCAGATTGTGCAATCTTCCCTTTCTCGACCTTACGAATAATTAATGGATCAGATGAAATACCCGTAGCTCGATCGGTAATAATAATTTCTGATCCATAAGTGATAGGAGTTGCATTAGATGCTGATGAGATCGATGATGATGTTGAGGATGAAGAAGCATTTTGACATCCTTTACTATTGGATTTTGGTGAGTTATTTGAGGGTAAAAGAGGTGTTGGGCTACTGATGACATCAATAATGAATGGTGCCCAAGAAGAATTCTTTGCACATAGATGACCGTTCTCAATGCCCATATATTTTGTACGTACTGTTTGAGAATTTATTCGATTGAATAATGAAATCGGAGTCCCGGATAAAATGCATGATGATACATTTCTTGCTTTAGCGGTTTTTTTTGATGGTTTTGAGATAATAGTGACAGGCGCAGAATCAAAGATGGCATATGGAATTGTTGAATTCTTATTGTAAACCTTTAATTTTAGAGAAAATTGCTTGGCTTTTGCGGTCCCACTGACGTGCAAATATTTAAAGGTGCCTTTCATGTTCTCATCGAGCATCGTTTTCTGTTCCATAGGTCGATCACCGGTTTCGCATACGACCGACATTGCTAATTCTGGTTTACCGTGTAAACTGGAATTTGGTTGTCTCACAATTACAACCGGAGGTGGACACAAGAATCTCTTTTCGCTGCCATATGATTTTTGAGCAACCGAGGCATGAAGACACGTGATTGTCGTCATCTGGAATGAATTCGGTGATGATTGTTGTTGACGTGATTGTGATGAGGATGGAGATGAAGGTTCGTTCTTAATTATAGGTTGAGAGGATGCATGAGATTCAAATTTTTGATAATTTGCATCGATCGACATTGAATTCTGTAACATCATTATTTCATCAATAGATCGGCGAATTTTTGCGATACGCGAATCATCGTTATTGGAATCCCATTTTCTTTTATTTGGTGGAGATGAGGTCATCAGAGGTGGGGGAGAACGACGCGGAGGAGGAGACCTACGTGTACGATCTACATCACCAACCGCCTGATTAACGCTAGGCAATGGAAATGAGTTCGAGAACATACTTCCGTGAGGAGGAGAAGGAAGACCAGATAAACGAGGGAATGGAATTGAATCTGTAGTTGAGGGAAACGCAATCGGTGCAGATGGAAGTGTTAACCCTCCAGAAAATGGTAGTGGTGCATTCAATGCAGTCTCTTGTGGTGTTAGAGGATTTGATTTGCTGTGGTTTGATTGATTTTTCTTTAGTTGTTCATTCTCAGCATCAATTAGCGATGATATCGACATTGCTCTATTGTTGTTGTCGTCGTCGTCGTCGTCGTTGTCATTGTTATTATTGCTGTCATTACCATTAAGATTACTTAATGGGGATGGTAAAAGTGGTCGATCTTGATTATTTGGTTTTTGTTCTTGTTTTTTTGATTGTTCTTGCTGATGTGTTTTTTCCGAGTTAATAGAGTTGTTTTGACGATTGTTTTCTACGGTTTGTTGTTGCTGAGAAGAATTCGATTCTTGATGTTGTTGTTGTTGTAGATTGGTATAAGAGGAGGAAAGTTTTGTAGAACTTAAATTTATGGGCGCAACCTCTATCGCGTTTAAAAGCGTTTCAAAGTTATTGTTACCAATAAAATTATTATAACGATGGTCCAAAGCTTGTTCACCGTATATTTGAGGTTGCTGGCTCATTGCAGAAGGGTAAAGGAATTTTTGGTTTTGAGGCTGTGGTGAAGTTGTGACGCAAGTTGAAGACGAATTTTCCATATTAATGCGCAATGACGCGTTTTTATATTTATTAGTCGACTTTTCCTTTTTATAATGGTATTCTTATTTTTTTTATGGGGTAGTCGCGAAAAAGTCGCGTTTTTACGTGTAATTCGCGTTGTCTGAAGATAAATTAATTACTTCTTGGAACGAATTAATTCAAGATGATAAATATCTAATGTTATATATAGGTGCTGAATGAGAATGCTTTTTGGAGATAGCGTGCGAAAAATATTAAAATATTCGCGCGAGAAATTTTTTGTGGTTCAAGTAATTTCTATTGAGTTTAATTGTTGCAAATGGGTTTTTTGTTATTATTATTAAGGGAAAAAAATGCGTGGAAAAAAAGGGATAGTACGTGCGTGGTAAGCTTGTGGTGGTGATTTTTGAGGTTTGGCAAAGTTCACCAGTGACGACGGCTTTTTATCAGAAAGATCGCAACTTGAGATTAGCGCTAATTACTAAACTTTGGGAAATTTCTTTAAATGGTAATGATGAGAGTTATTAAAGCTTATAAGTTAATTTTATATATGTATATTTTTTTTCTTGTCAAACATAGTTTATCCTGCTGATACGATAAAATTTTCCTCAATAATTAATAAATCTTTAGTTTAGAAAGATTTTCTAATTTATTCTGTTATACATTACATTATTAATAATATTTATATTAATATTATATATTATTAATATTATCACTTTACATTATTTTATTTTAATTTTTGATACATTGTATGCGGAATATTTTAACATATACGTATATTTTTTTAATATATATAATATATATATATCTCTCTCTCTCTTTCTCTCTCTCTCTCTCTCTCTCTATTGAAAGATATCAGGCGAATAATAATTGATAATTTCAGGTTGATAACAAGAAAGTATAACAACGTAAATTTATTTTTATTGTTTACAATAAATTTTTTGACAAGTAGTAAAGTAGGATTATTATATTATTAATAATATTTGATTATTGTCAGCCTTCCTCTTTAGCCAATTTTCATGTGCTTGTAACACTCTACTGATCTGGAGCGATTAGGCTGTGGATGGTGTTGTGTTTATTATGAAAGAAAAAAATTTTTTTTAATATTTTTTTTGGCTGAGTTTTTGGTTTCTTTGCAGTCAAGTTCTCTTTAATTTCATTTATATAAATTTGTAACAGATAACAGATAATATATTTTTTATTAATGCAGACAGATAGTGTTTTACGATAATCTTATCCATTCATTTATTCAAGTATTTTCGTACACGTTGTGTAGCATCACATATCCGTTTTTCACCGATTAGATTAAAAGTCTCTTTTTCCCACATTCTTAATTTTTTTTTTATTTCTCGTGTCTCTTACTTAATCTTGTACAATAAAAATGTTTGGGTGGGTGAATGAAAAAATTAGTCTGTCCTGAGATTCAAATTGGGATTGGTCAAGATCGAAACTCGTCTGATGAATGCGTGTGATTAATTTTAATTTAAGCAGAGAAACCTGTATGTATCTCTTCATGCTTAACATAACTTTGTTCTTCTTTTAATATATGAACACGTGCACCAATCTTTTTTCCCACACCATCCTTAGAATAGAACACAAACCAACTTGCGATGTTTTCGTTGTTCATGCAAATACATGTACATGTAAAAAGAAGCGTCGATCATCCTTCAACTTATCAGAAGTTTAATTTATGATAAAGTTTCATGTTTTTTGATGATATACAATAAAAAAGTACAATGAAGAAAAATGTCGTCATAAAGTTTTTTTGATTGATTGATAATGTGATATATTTATTTGTATAGAGATACATATACATATACATAAATATACATATATACATATATATTTTTTACTATATGTATGTGATTGAATAAAGACAGGAAAAAAAAGTTTTAGCATGTATGCTATAGATCCCAATTAGTATTAGTATTGTATAGTAATATGATTAGATTAATGCAGGATATCGTGAACTCGATTAAAAAAGAAAAAGCGGGGAAAAAGAAAATTAAGAGTGAAGAGAGAAGAGAGAACAAAATAGTGGGGTAATATCACAACAAATTAAGAAAGGAACTTCCCCACAAAAAAGCCTCAACTACTTACTTCATCCTCAATATTATTTTTCTTTCTCTCACCTGGAGGAAAGCTATTACTGTTCGATTACTTCATATCATTTCCTAAACTTGAGTTTCTCCACGCTTTTGAAAGCCACACGCACATATGCACATATGCAAAGAAAAAACCCTCACGCAGATAATAGCCTGGAAGTAAATATTATCTAGCTATTTGAGTAGTAATCCCTTGTCTTTTTTTTTCTCTGATTGCATGCGTTACAATTTTCTCACGTGTGCTGCTGTCAAAATTGTAGAGATCAACTTTCAATCATTCCATTGTGATTTATTGTGTCAAAAGAATAGATACCCATTATTTTAATTATTTAAGTTGATCTTTAACTTACATACCGATCAAATTTTAGTATTACATTAGATTAAGATCTAAAATTAAATTTCATCTTACCCGAAGTTAGGGAATGTACGCGGTGGATAAATGTGGATCACATGACGCAATATGTGAATTATGAATTTCGATTGGTTACAAAACCTTATCATACGGACGATATCCTCAATTTTTTATACTGTTTACATGGAAAGTTGTTCAGAAAAGTGCTAGAGGCAGTGCAAACTACGTCACTTGTTTTTGAACCAGAGCCAAGACCGAAATCTCGTATTGTGTATAAACATGGAAATACGCGTCACTTGAATTATATTACAAAAGGAAATATTCTGAAAAAAATTGTATAATTCTTTGACATTGTATATTTTTATGTAAGCATGTCAGATTATAAAAAATGTGATTCAGAGAAGAAAAAGCTGACTGAACCAAATTTCAAATTTCCTAATCTGGAATTCATTCAAACAAATCCGACTCAAAAGAGATTACGAGAAAACTGATGCATAAATCTGTCTTGGACTATTAATTAAAAATGTTGGGAAGGCAACTTTACATATATTCTCGCTGCCTCATTCAATACCTTGCCCTTATCCTGTTCTAATGAAAATTCAGAATCCAAATGAGGAAATTTGAGATTTGGTTCAGTAAAACTAATCCAAAAGAGCTTGTTATTTCTGAATAGATGTTCGTGAAAGTTTTGATCAGTCATTTGACGGTATAATAAAACTGACATTTCCATAAATAATAATAGTTCTAGTAATTACAGCACGTGCTTTGAAAAAGATATCGCCGGTTGTAGAGAATTAAATACACTAACTTGATGACCAATTCTATTTTTGACTATTTAAACGTTGCTATCTTAGCAAAAAATAAGTCTAAGGCGTGGCATCATAAGTTCAACATCCCTTATTTGGATAAGTTACCATAAACTGATCACTTTTTAACATCAGCTTTATGAGGTCGTTAGCTGGTCAAATAAAATCCTTATCGCTATCATCAACCTTGCATACAGAAAAGGTACATTCGAAATCCCAACAAGCAGAATTTTCGAAAACCTCCTGGATCGGAGCTTCGAAACGTCATCATATAAAAAATGTATATAATTAATTGAGTCTTATGGCGTTTTTCAGATCAATAAAATGAATCTTTTATTTGGTATTAATAAAATCTCGAATAATATTTGAAATAATTATAGGATCCTTCTAACCGATTTCCCTCCTAAATATCTTCCGATCAGTGCTCTTATTTTATACGCGCTATTTATTAATCATCTTCATACTTTCGCAAACCTCTCGAGTCTCCTTGGGTGGCTTTATAATATTTTTGGAATTCACAAAGAATATGTTCTAAATCCAAACCGCGTAATGTTCTTCCTTCAAAATGTGACCCAAGATGCATATTTACTTTTTGCAGTAATAACTCAAAATTATAACTCCTCTCAAAGTATTTAAGACCTTCTTCAGCGCCTGGGCCTAATATAGCAAACGCCTTATTATCCCCATACATCACCATTCCCATCATTAACATGTCGCAGGCAATTTGCCATGCAGTGAAGGTTCCTATCTGAGGAATATCCTTATCCTCTTTCAGCTCGATATAAGCATCATATAATGTTGGTTGTGGATTTCGTTTGATAATTTTCGCCCATACCTTTTTCCCATATTCAAATACTTTCTCCCATTGATCTCTTCGTGCTTCGAAAGTAATAGTACTTTGAAATGCGTTTGTACTAACCGGTAAACCACGATTTTTTCGATTTTCGAGTATCGCCCATCCTTCATCAATATCTGTAATGTACTTAAGTCGTTCATTGATACTTTTTCGTGAAACAAGACGATGAATGATAAGATTAATGAGATAGAATTCATCAGTTGGGTCATGATCGGAAAGGATATTTGTTATTATTACTGAGGTTTTGTCATCTTCACGAAACACCTAGAATAAGATATTTTAGCTTATTAGTCATCATCATCATCATTTTTGGAACATTTGAATTTGACGAACGGATCAATTAAAAACTTACATTAGTGAATCGGAATTTAGATAACACTTTATCTTCAGTATAAGGAAATGGCATACCTTTCGATTTCTTTATAAAGATCTTTTGACGTTCATTGATGAAGTGTATTAACTCGTCAATTGGCACTTTATTAACTGTTCTCTTGACAATTGGTGCTTTATTAACTGCTCTCTTGTAAAGTGAACGTCGAAAACTATCAGTTATCTCGATGTCTACGAATAATGGTGGTGGATTTACAATTGTCAATTCTTTGAAACTTGCATTCATTGAGGATCTCGGAGGGTCATAATAAGAAGGCACTGATGAGGATGATGACAATGAAGGTGATGTTGGCTCTGATGAAACTTCAGATGAAGAATTAATCGATCGTTCGTAAGTTGGAAGCGAATTAAATATAAATGAATCTTCAGAAAATAATGAAGTTGATGATGATGATGAGGATGAGGAACTTGATGATAAAGATGATAGTTGAAAAGTAGAATCATCACTATCATCGCTGTTGTCGTTTCTATATTCTACATTAGTCATTTTTCTTTTATCTTTGACCTTTTTGCGAACTTTATACTCTCTATCATTACCTTCATCTTCAACATCAACATCATCATCATCATCATCATCATCTTTAATTAAGATATAATTAGGTACATTCTTATTAATAATATTCTCATTTTTATCATCTTCGTCATCCTCATGATCAGATGACATTATTTCTACTAATGGGAACAGTTTTCTTCGTTTGGGTGTTGAAGCAGATAAAGCAGCAACCTCTCTTTTATTCTTGACATCATTATTCTCTGAGAAGGAAGAGGATGAACTTGCGGAAGAAATTTTTCTATTAAATTTTCTTCGGGCTGAACTACCATCATGATTATTATTATTATTATTATGATGATTATGATGAAATATTCCATTATTATCAATGTTATCATCAACGTTGCCCGAGGTTATCGTTGTTGATGTATTTCCAGCTTCAAGATTAATAAAGTTGTCAACGTTGTTTTTCTTATCATCTTCCTCATCGCTCAATAGAACAACCACCTCCATTAAATCTTTGTCTCGATGGGCAAGTTTATTCGAGGGAGATTTGCGTGAAGTCATCTTGTGAGAGAAAGAATGGCGTACTGATTACAACATTGATCAAAATTTTACTTGGTATTGTGTTACAATTAATTTAACTAATTTCGCTGATGACGTCTTTGAGCATTGTTTCTTTAAATATGTTTGACCCTGTTTATAATTTATCCAACGAGCAAAAAGAAAAGGTATTTTTGAATATTTTATTAATTGATAATGATGCTAATTTTTCTGTTAATTAAATCTTAATTTGTAATAAAAAGTTCGACCAAGATGGGTAAGAAGTGATCATTTCTTCATTGAAACATGTTTTATCGTTTCGATATGATGCCATATATTTTTTTAATGGATGGACATATAAAGCTATCTTGTGATACCAAACTTTTTTTCATTGGAAACCGCGGAACAGTTAAAATTACGTGCTAGTCAATTGGTAGATGAATTCTCACTTGACGATCACCCGATTACAATTTTCTCCGCTAATGAGAAGGAAAGCGTATATTTTTTTATATGCATCAAATGAGAAGGAAAAAAGTGAGAGTATTAATATGATTTGCAAAATATTTATAGACTCAGTATCGCGATGATTATTTTCTTAATTCTGGGGACAAGATTCGC